AATTTGTAGAAAGTTAATAAAAAAAATCATGTTTTTTTTAAACTTTAGTTTAAATTAATTGCTTTTAAGTTTTAAGTATATAACCTAACCTTATTATAATAACAGTTAAGTTCTTTAAATATAATTTATAAATGTATGAAATTATATACATATTATATGCCGGGTTTCATAAAAAAGGTAATGAAATCTTTGACCACCAAACCATATTTAAAGGACCATTAGCTCACTATACACCTAGATCTGTTATATACCTTATACCTATTATGTTTAGTAATTGTTCTCGCAATCTAGCAATTTAATGTTATTTTTAATTTAATACGCGTAGGTACCTAGGACCTGATACAAAGTATAGCCGTATGGGTAGTACGTATATAGCATACAGGTATAGATGATAGGTTTAGTGATCTATGTTTACGTGTAATAATACATGCAATATGCTTTGGCAAAAATTAGTTTAATATACGCCGTACTACCAATAGATAAATAAATTACTTATGTCCTAACAGGGCCGGCGCTACCTTTTGCGAGGCCCTGGGCAAAACTTATTTAACCAATATCCATATCGCATAGAACATAGATGTAAAAGGCAAAAAATCATAAAAAATGTGGGTCCCAAATAAAACAATTTTAAATCATTAAGGACTTAAGCCCTCCCAAAATGTAGACCCTAGTTACACCTATGATGTTTATTGAAATAAAAATACATTAGTAAATATTAATTTTCAACTTTTTAATGATTACTTTTAAACGTATTACACTTGTCAACTTACAAACATATAAATAACTTACAAAATATAAACTAAGCCACTAAGGTATACAAATGTACAAATGTACAAAGGTTCTGTAATTGTATGTACTAAATTTAATATAAAATAATTCATTTAAACATTAGAAATTTAAGCAATAAAAAACAAAATTAATATAGAATATTTAAAATTTTTTTCTTAATTTTTTTGGACGCAAACGACTCTATGACGTCCATAAAATTCAATGTATTTGCTGTTTCATTTTCAATTGCAATAGTAGCCAATTCAGTCAATCGTTTTTGAGAAATTGTGTTTCTTAGGTAATTTTTGATTATTTTGAGCTTTGAGAAACTCCTTTCTGCTGACGCTGAGGTGATTGGTATGGTTAACAAAATTCGGAGTGAAATTACTATGTTAGGAAAAGCTGTAAAAGCACCAGGAATTGTTTTTAAAAACTGAGTGCTTCCAGTGGCGTCCGCATGGGGGGGCTAACGGGCTGAAGCCCCCCCCCATTGCCCGTATTATTATTACTTTAAAAAAATATATTAATCAAGTTTAAACTGTCAACTATAGTAAGCAAGACGTAAATTTCATATATGACTTACCGAATGAATTCATTTTTGAAAAAACATTGTATTTGCATACCAATTTTCATAAATTATCTGTAATTTTTCGGTAAAAGAATGAACTACTTGTACGAAAGACCTTGTATTAAATTGTCTAGCCTTAGCTGTATATATTTTATATTTTATAAGTTTTGAACTACAAATTAACTGTGGTTAAATTGTTTTGAACTTTAAATGCATATGTATCGTTAATATGTTAGCTATAATAAAAAAACTAACGTATTACATTTTTAAGCTTTTTGACCAGATAAATAATTTTTTATTGACATTTATAAAAAAAAAAAGTTAATTAATCAAATACAATCCAAGTGAGGACGGTATAACCAAGCAGGGGCGTATATAGGATTTTCTTGAGGAAGGGGATATCAAAATTTGTTTAGTGCTGTTGCAACTTTTTGTTAGTTACTCCATGTAAGGTATATAATAATAATAAATGTTGTGTAATGTCACTCACATGCCCACAGGATAACAAAATTATAAATAACAACAGTACTGCAGCAGTTTGTACTTTATACATGGAAAAAAATGGGTAAGGGAGGGGATCTATCCCCCATATCCCCCCCATAAATACGTCACTGTTAAACCAAGCTATACTGTTACCAAACAATTTAAATAAGTTTTCATTTTTTTTTCTCCTATTAGGTACTTTTAAAAGCACTGAGCAGATTCAATTTCGACCTCCTAAAAGTACCATCGAAGCTTATGATAAGAGCATATTTTCTACTAGAAAAGTTGAAAAGTTACTAACATTTTAAAATACCTCAAATAAACGTCTGAAATTATTAGACTGGACAAAATAAAAATAAATTTATAACTAATTTTCAAGCCCCCCCCCCCCCATTGAAAAATCCTGCGGACGCCACTGAGTGTTTCTATTGGCGTAGAATCTTCTTTCATTGTATGACGAAAAACTAGTAACTCTTCATACAATTCAGAAGCAACTATATCATATAATTCTCCGTCACTTAGATAATTTTGTAAATCTAAGCAACTCTTCATAAGGTCGTCATTAGTTATTTTTTGGAGCTCACCAATATTGTATAGAAAACTGAAATTGTCGCTATAAATTTTAAATTGATTAAATCGTTTACTAAATGATTTGACAGCAGCTCGCAATATCGGGTAATGATTGATTAAATTTAATAATGCGATTAACTGTCTAGGAATCCGGGGTTACCATACCGTTCGACGTGCCATACCGATCGACGTTGACGCATAAATATTTAATATTATAATATTATATTGTTGTTTTGTTTTAGTACAAGATTTTCATATAAAATATTTTCCTATGTAAATTTTGAGCGCGAGGCCCTTGAATGCGCGAGGCCCTGGACAAATGTCCCGCTTTGCCCCCCCCCCTAACGCCGGCCCTGTGTCCTTAAAAATGTAAGCTAATAGACAGTCTTCAATCTAAATCGTTTGCAATGATTTATCAGTAAATTTAAATTCAAAAAAATATGCATTTCAGTTGTTACTCAATGACTGGGTAGTTGGTACACATGGACATCTGTAGTCTGTACTATACAGCAGAGAGAGTTCCCCAGTTGTTATCCTTAATCAGTTGATAATGTATTGTTCGCGAAACGTTCAAATTCGAATTTTTATCATCGAATATAATGATATTATGTATTGTTGTTTAACTTAAGCTGATCGTACTAGTAGTAAATACAAATTACCAACAAGTCCAACAGTAATATTAAATCCATTTTACAATTTTACTGGGCTATATCCATCGAAATGAATTTACATACATTAAAAAGCTTTTAAATATTATAATATTACAATGTTAACTTAACTTTGTATTTTAACAATATTTTTTTTTTCATCAATCGATCAATCACCTATAATTTAATTATTAGAAAATCATATTTTACAATACTTTTTAAAATAAATATTGTATAGGAAATAGTTAGTACCTAGGTGGTAGGTAACGTACAATTTGTTTTGTTTTCAATATTACGGACACCTATACATTAAAAATGTGCATTACCTAATTTTTATCTCCACGAATGTACATACGTAAATGGTTGAAATTTACCATCTGTGACTTATAATTTATATAAAATTTGACAAGGCAAGATGTTTACAGATGTATGATTATTCATTTTTTCTCTAATCTCTTAGTCGTACAAAGTCGAGCTTAGTTATATTGTTCACAGTGTAATAATGGCTAAATATATTATACATTTTTTGTCGTCGCAATACACTTGAACTGATATTATATTTTATATTATTTTAAACTCTTAGTTATTATTGTGCTATTCTCAACACTCGTTTTATCAAACCTTAAGAGGACGTCGCACCCGCAATCCGCATGATAATATTGTACACGTGTACGACATAGCAAATTTTACGCTCAGCAGATCAAGTTTGGCCCCGTTTATTTTAAATTAGAGTGAATTTACCTCTTATAAAATTTAAAGGTAAGAATATTATCTAGGGAATCTCATCGGCTGTTTGCTGTATTTTAATTTTAAATTGAGTTATGAGTATTAAAAGATGTATAAACATTTTACAATTTTAAAATACTCATAATTCCCTTTAAAATTGAAATGTAACAAAAAGCTGATGAGACGCCCTATATATATATAAAATTCTTACTTTTAAATTTTATAAGAGGTCAATTCACTCTAATTTAAAAATTAACGGGGCTAAAAGTGATCTGCTGAGCGTAAAATTTGCCACGGTACACGTGTAAGACGGAGACAACATATATGCGGGAGCGACGTCCTGTTACGACGACAGTTATGGTTAGCCGTTAGGTAATTCAAAATATAAGAATTGTTTTTTCAAACACAATGGTTTATCGCTGCTTTTAATAATACAACCGTTCTAGTTACCCACCCGACAGTATATAACCAAACTTATTAGTTATTTTGAAATCTAATGTTATAACTTGCCAGAGTTCACTCAAAGTTAAATAAACAAATCTATGATTGAAAAAAAATATGTATTACTAAATACTTAAGGCCGCTTTCACCACTTCTTTAAACTTCGATTAAAGTTAAACCAGGGTTTAATCGGCCGAATTTTGCCGGTTAAATATCCGTCATCAGTCGATTAAGCGTAATCGAAGTTTAAAGTATTTGGTGAAAGCGGCCCTTAATATTTTTATATTTATTAAGTGTTAACATATTACAAAATTGGCTGTATTCGTCTATAATATCATAACCACGATATTTCATAATTCATATACACTTTTAAAAAGATCCAACAAATTGTATTATATTCAAACCTATTTTTAACACCTGAACAAGAACCTAAATAATCTGGGTAATTTTATTAATCTTCTTGTTGTTATCTTATCGCTAATATACAGACTGGTTAAATTTGTCAGGTAGATAGGACGTGGGTACGTGGAATGATAAAAGCTTAATGTGAATTGAACAGTCAACACGATGAGAAGTGAATCGTACCGGTTTGTCTTTGCAACGTTTAGCCAAAACCGACATAAATACTTAAACTAACCGACTTTGAAACACACGAACGTTTCTTTTTTTTCTTTTGTAATTTTTTACAAAGTTTTTTTTTCTCTAAGATATTATTTACGCATAATATGATCCCACTACGTGTGCTATTGCGTTGTTGTGAATAAACACAGATTATAATAACTTTATTTTTCATGAAAATGCGACGTGGTGTACCGTGTTCAGTTCGTAATAAGCACAGAAACACTTGGGGAATGAAGACGTTAAAAATGTGTTTTGGCAAGGGTCGTTTGAAACCACGTGAAACTATTGAACAAGGTAAAACAATATAATGTTTGTATTGAAAAATTGAAAAATTTGAATAGTTATAATGATTGTGATTTGTAAAAGTATATTATATTAATATATTCTCGTCTCTCATGTCTCGTGTATAATATAGTACAATAATATAATATAATAATATAATATTAATTCATTCATTTTAAATACTGATTTATAACAATCAATATTATCCAAAAGTATAATCATTGATTATAAATACTAGTATTTATATTCGATGGTATAGCCGTATAGGTAATATAGGTATATTATATAGCACTATAATTGAAATATTAATAATATAGGCAAGTTCATTGAAATACGAATTTTGTATTAGGCGTAATTCAATCAATTATTCTATCTAATACATGGACGATTTCATGTACTCAATTATGAAATACAGTTATAAACAACAATTTAATATTGTTCATTGGTTATAACTTATAACATTTAAATTATTTAAGCAAATTTAAAACAACAACTGACAATTATTATAATAATAATATAATATACTAATAGCTTAAAAATTAATAATATGGCGTTTATAGATATCAAAGAATTCGAAATTATGTTGTATAATCTAAAGGTAGTTAATGATAATAGTTATATAATATCAGTTTAATATTTTTAAATATTCATTGTATTGTTGATTAATTAGGTTTTTTTTAAATTTTGATGTTATGCTATAATTATATATACACACAATGAGTACCTATTATCAATTAATAATTATTATAACACTTGAAGGAGAAAAAAATTATTAACTTGATTATTCATGGAAGATGCCAATTACACAATATTGCTTTTGTCTTAAGAGGATATCACTATATCAGTGAACTATTTGTTTTCTCTCTCTGATCCACGCCCAACATTGGTAGCAAATTTTACGTTCACAATAATACATTTTACTTTGTAATTTCTAAAATTAGAGTGAAATGACATCTTATAAAATTTCAGATTATTATCTAGGAAATTTAATGGGCTTTTTATTATATTTTAATTTTAAAGGGAGTTATGAGTATTTTAAAATTGTAAATTGTTTAAATATCTTAAAATACTCATAACTCGTTTCAAAATTGAAATATAATAAAAAGCCTACGATATACTCTAGATAATAATTTTACCTTTAAACTGTATAAGAGGTTACTGCACTCTAATTTTAGAAATTACTAAGTAAAATGTATAATTGTGTACGTACAATTTGCTACCTATATATGTTGAGCGTGAGTCAAAGAGACAAATAGTGCGCTGATATCCTATTAACTTCAAATATAATTGTTTGTTTTTTTTTTTTTTTAATTTTATTTTATAAGGCATCTTACCCGCATGTGTTGTGACAGTCTTTAAACGTACTTACAACACACCACATCCGTATTAAGAAAAACACATTTTGTGATGTCAGATTTAATTAGAGTAAATTAACCTATTATAAAAATTAAAGGTAAGAATATTATATGTGTGCACGATTATTTTTTTACAACATTGTAATTTCAACCGTTTCTTTGATTTGGTATGTAAAATATTACCCATATATATACCAATTATCAAAAATGATCATAACTTAATTAAAAATATTTAAATATCGGAAGAAATCTACGTAAAACACAAAATATAATTTTCCATCAGTATGGCCTTTAAGTTTTATATTTGTAATTTGTATTGTAAGTACTTATATAGCCGTATAGTTCAATTTACTAGGATGTCACAAATTACACATTTTGTATAAAATGGCATTAATTATAAAATAAAATTATTAAAATTTGAACAATAAATTAAAAATGTGTTAAATTTTTTTGTGATGATTCAATAATCGTCGTGCTTAAATTAAAAATAATAATACACTAACTAGTATACTAGTAATAATTATAATTACAAGCGTCTGTTTTTTAGATTCTAAGTGGAACCATGAATGTATTTATTTTACAATGTGTGTTTTTTTTTTTTGTCTGTCATCACTTTTTAGGACAGTAAACGTGCTTGGATTTTCTTCAACAGTATCTTTTATGATAGGAAAATCGATTTTGGTTTTTGATGTTACTCTAAAATAAATGAACGTATGTACTATGTACATGAACATTTCACTGGTTGTTTATATTTCCATTTTCTATAGATGATAAAATTTTCCAAATATTTTGAGCTCTTTACGGACATTTTCAGTTTCCATTTTTCTTGTTTTTTTTTCTATAAATATCAATAAAATTTTATTTGTTGGGTACAAATTACAAAAGCTTAAAAATTTAATAGAAAGCTCCTAATATATTGCTTCAAAGACAGATGAAAAATATTAAAAATCCTTAGTCATGGTTTTTTGTTATGAGCAAAGTTCATAAAGTTCAAAAATTGACAAAATACGTAAAAATGACCAAAATTTGCAAATTATTTCGAGTTAGAAATTCATAACAATTTTTCTTTTTAAATCTAAGATATGAAAATATAATACAAGATTCTTCATAAGTTTGTCTACCTTTATCAAAAAAAAAAAAAATGTCTACAAGAAACTCAAATAAATTTTTATGGGCGTTTGAAATTCATATTTTTACAACATTTGATATTCACTTGATTTCTCAGGTAACGATTTTCTAATTTTGTTGTAATTAAAAAACGATTGACTGTCGATACTTGAACATTTTACTTAATATTTATATTAGCATTTCCTATCCACCATATAATTTTAAAAATATTTTGAATCTTTTTGAGCTGTTAACGGACATTTTCAGTTTTAAATATTTTTAGTTTTTTTTTCTATGAATATCAATGAAATTTTATTTGTTGGGTAAAAAAGCGTGACAATTTAATGCAAAGCTCCTGATATATTGTTACAATAGCACTTGAAAAAAAATTATTTCAATCAAATGAATATGGAAGTAGACCAAAGTAAATTTGGAGGCCCCATAATCTTAACTGCACTGATAGCATGTAGTGATGTTATTGTTTACAAATCGTTGCATCATCGACTGATGTATGGAAAAATGTGTTTCAAAGAACACAAAGTATTATTGTTACGAAAGTTGAGCAATGAAATATTGACAACAAAATCTGTTAAGCTTCAAATAACGAGAAGGTACTTAACAAAAATCTTAAGATTATAATAATAAATAATATGTAGATTATAAGAATATGTAACAACATTCACAACAATATTTTTATAGATGCAAATATAATATGCTTATTACTTAATATATTATTATGTATCATATATTTATACTTGCTTATATTGTATGAACAACTCGAACAAGCCTAATTTTATATCAATAATAAATTATGGAAATTATATTAGGAACAATCAGTAAATATTATTTTTTATGTCTTTATTTAGATTTATATTTAATAATAAATATTAACCATAAAAAATATTTCTGAATTACTTGCCCTATAAGGTTATTAGGCTAAGAAATAAATATAACAAATACCTATCTACATTAAGTTGTAAGTTTACAATGACCACTGTGGGCATAAGCCATCATATTATTGATATAATATGATTATTGAAGCTATAATCGGCTCTATAAAATATTATAATAAACTACAGAAATTAAAAATAATACGATAAACGTATTTTTTTTAACATTTATGAATTCAAACCATTCCTAAGTTCATATTTTCAATAATTGTAGCAGGTACCTACCTACTCTAAATAGTATGTAATTTTCAATCGTATTTGTAAAATGTAAAGTTGTTGATTGGATACTACGTATCGTCAAAATAGATCTTCGTTTTAGCTGATTTCTATACAATTAGGAGGTAGCTACGTATAAATAATACCTTAATTTATATTCCTTTTTCTATTTCGTGGTTAGTGGTTACCACTTTGGATATGTACATGCAAGCCAATATAATTGCATTGATTTTAAATTTTTCATACAATTATTATTTAACACTATTGTTTTGCACGCTCCTTGCTTCGTATCATTATCTTATCTATAATATACCACTTTATTGTCTTTGTAATTTGAATAAAAATGTACTATATTATAGTATATATAACATCATACCACTTCATGAAATGTAAAGTGTAATTCATATCCAGTACCTATTTAACTAGAGCTGTTTCAGCGTGAACGTCAATATAGTTACTGTTGTACTGTTTTAGTGTTTTACTAATATAATTTTGAGAAATCTGAACTTAAGTTAGGGTGGAATTAGTTATGACGGTTGTGTTGTTAGGTTTATTTACATTTATGGTATAGGCATTCCATTAATACTCATACATTACTAATTGGTTATAAATAAACCAGGAAGTTAATTTTATTATATGCATATGGAGTGTCGAGTGTGATTTCCTTCTTTTTTGTTTTGTTAAAACTTGTTGCATATAATATAATATTCAAGATCGAATATTATTAAGAAAAAAATCTTAAATCAGTAGGTACATACATTTAGTATAATGATAATAACAATAAACATTACATAATATTATAACAATATACAACAATATTATGTTAGGTCTATTCTTTAGAAAAAAAAAACACTTGAAAATTACCTACCTAATTTATTATTTTATATTATTAGGCACAACTTGTAAGGTTAATGACATGATATTCCAAGCGTATTAGAATAGCTATTAATATTATTTACGTAGGTACAATATATCAAATTGCTTCAGAATCAGTACCTATAATACTAAACGTAAATGGATGAGCATGAGTCAAACGACACACGTCGCCGTACTATAATATATTATATTAGGTATTACAATAAATTATAGAAATTATATTATAGAATTTATAGAATCAGACCCATATTATGCTGTAATATTATTATTGTAAGTAGCTCACGGTGGTAACAAGTACCTATACAGAACTAAATTATTTATAACAAAACTACAAAATATGTATTATAAGTAGGGGGCGGATGTTTATGCTCCAAAAAAATTAAAAAATATGCATGCAATTATGCTCTAAAAAGTATAAAAATATGGTTAGAATTTATTAAAAATATGCATCAATAAAATTTTTACTTTGAACTTATTTTGTTTATTAAAAATTAAAAATATATTGGTATAAAATAATTATTCTTAAAAATAAAACTTTAAAAAGAACTGTTGGTGAATTGTTTGTTAATCTGAAAATAATATATACATGGATATTAGAAACCAAGTACTAACTAAACATTAAATGATTTGAAAACATACCTAGTAATTGGGCATTGCACTGGATAATCAATGTTTTCTTTAAATTACCAAAAGTAAATTTTCTTCTGTTATCCGCAACAACATTTTGAATTTGTAAAAACTGCAATCTACGTCTGTAGATGAGACAGGAGCATATTTGAAATATGGTAGGTCTGATGTAGTTATAGTTCTTCTTCCAAGTCTTAAACAGTAACATGATTATTTCCTTCCAAAATGTTTGAAATTGTATTCAATTTCTTCAGTCCATGATTTTTATCATAAACGCTAAAAAGTTTGGTTTGTATAGATTTTTCTATATTTCCTGGGATTTGAAAAATCTTAGCTTTAACTTTTTCAACTATTAAAATAGAATCAGTCCATAGGACGCTTTTTTTTTCTAAACTAGTCATTTTATCCACTAAAAATCCGAAGTGTTGTTTTAGTGAAAATCAAATCTTTTTTTATAGTTGGATCTCCGACAACGTTATGCTACTTTAAGGTTAGGTTAATTTATAAGGTATACACAATTGTTATATAATTGTTATAATATCTATTATGTCATGTATATCTGGGCGCCTGCCTGAAAAATATTATAATAAATAAATAATGTATACAGAGTCTTCTAAAATTGTATGGGACAAATTGGTGGTGATCGCGTTAGATCCAACATAATCCACACCGTTTTTGTCACACGACATTCTTAATACCCTGTATAATATATATTATACATTATAAGGTTCATTTGTTTCGATGTTTTTTTTTTTTGCTCTTTCTCTAAACATAATAATATACATGTTGTGACGCCTTAAGCACCCTTCGCGTATTATTATACTGCTTGTACGAAATTAGATCGTGCTCAGATGTATATGACGTATACGAAAAGTATACGAAAAGGAAAAAACTGGAATAATAACGAAAGACCAATAATATAACGTATGGATATCGTGTTTAAATAAAGCTCGTCCTTCCGCCTTTAATACGGTTATAATTTTATTGTTAACAATCTTATATTTATAATAATATTAAGGTCAATTATTATTGTGGTGTTGTCGTCTCAAGGTTATTATAGACCGGCCTGCGTATTCGCTCGGTAACGTGGTGATGGAAAACTCGGCGTCATTTCTTTTTATGCTGTTAAACACTGTGCAGTGGCTGTCGGACGGGTTGATATTATTTTAGTAGTATAATATAATAAACTATTGTTTGTGCGATTTTCCGCAAGTCGTCCAATCCGCCGAATCCCAATTGGTTTTATTCCAGTTCGCCTCGAAGCAGGTAAGATCTAACTTGTGATTTATTTTTAACCCAAAATGTCTACATGTTTTTATAATTTTGTGTGATATGGCGACTAAAATTGTTCAAGTCTAAATAACGTCTACTGGTGTTATTTTAAAGAACTTTTAAGAGTAGTTCTAAAGTATGAGAGTGTTCTTATTCATGATTAAAAATAATTAATGTCGTCGATTTTTTTATCTAAAAAAAAGTCCTACCTACTTTCTGGTAAACACTTATAAATAACCATACTATATACATGCGTACCGATAATGAGAATATTAATTATAATTAATTATTCAATGCAAATATTTTTTGAAACTAGTTTGTTTTAATCAATTTTTAACAATAAGAAATATATTTATAATAAATCAAAACGAGACTAGCATAATATATCTCGTCTGGATATAAAATATTCATTTATGATTACAAATGTAACAAAATCACATAACTTATTAATTATCAATTGTGCAGTCTTGGGTAGTATTCCGAATACAGTATTCGGAATACTTTTATAGTACTTTTCCCAAAATTATTGTGAATAACTATTAAGAATATATTTATTTAATTTAAGTAATTTAATCCTATAAAAAAATACTTTTCATTTACAATAATAATTATTTTCCTTATTTTTCTGGAATTTTTTTTCAATATTATACACATTTTAAAATTTTAAATCATGTATCAACAATTTAAATTATTAAATTATGTATGTTAGCTCTAATTTTCAATTTTCGTGAATAAAAGTCTCATTGGTTTAATATTTCAAACAGAAGGTGAACATTATTTGAAGTACTTTATTGGGAATACTATTTTTCATAAATATTAGAGTATTTATTTCAAATACTTTTTAAAAGTATTTTACTCGAGTCTGCAAGAATGGAATTTAAAAACACAGGACAACATTTATTTTAATATGGTTCAATTAAAAATTAAAAATAAATCGTTAAATTTCTTGATAGACTAAGAATTAAGATCATGGTGTCGCCATACATTATTTATTATTATTGTTTTACCTTATTATCCATCCACTTATGGGTTATTCTTAAAGGGTGCTGGATTTTCGATAAATTCGTTGGTTTATAATAATATTAGCATAAACAATGTACGAGTGTCTACTAATATATAAGGAATGCATCTCACACGGACACATCATTCGTGTGTTCTAAAAGTGTATTCCAGTTCCAGCTTAAAATTCCATTCCGGTTAAATCACAAGTATTTATACTTTTATACTTATTATATTTTATAGGCATTATATTATGCTGAAAAATAAAAAACACACAAATTCAACGAACATTCCATAATAAAATGAATGTAATTTTAAAATTAAATCACTGTTTAATTCTGTACAAGAAATTTAGGTGTAAATTTATCTTGTGTTACGAATTAAGACACATTTTCTGTCTGTTCTATTTAAAAAACAAACGCCCTTGACTTCGAACACGAGTGAATGCGTAGGGTAAAACGTCAACCCAATGATTGCATCTACGTATTTATGGCGCTTTTGAGCTGAACTATACGATTTGGCTCAACAATATAATGTCTGCTTGGAAATTTGACTTTATTTTGATGGCACAAATTTTATCATGCGTTTGATCTTTTTACTATAGTTAATCATAATATGTGTCATAAATCATAACTCATACGTTTGTTGAAATATTCATAATAATAATAATACAATAGGGTTATAATAAATATCGACCAGTTATAATAATCAATAAACCTGGACTTAAAGTGCATTATGACCTTCTTCCATTTATAAGGTTTCTTATGTGAGCTATAATATTCTTATAGCACACAATCATGAAACAAATTCTAGAAACATAAAATAATACAGTAATTGAAATTTCACAAATTAATTTAATATGAACAATACAATATAATTTTGATCTTAACACTTTAAACTTTTTAAATTATTTATCGACATTAAAATTATCTGTGACTATTTACCTACCAACCTACTTACTTTAAAATGTAATACCTTTTTTAAAAACAAATTGCATTCAATTAGATCTAAAATTATTTAACACATTAATAAAATTAAAACTAAAATAATTCATAAAGAGTGCTCCAGTTAACATCCAAAATATAATTACACTTTGAGACAATTATAACAAACATAGACGTCCTCCATAATATTAATATCATCTGTACTATATTTATATTATAATTTTAAGATAAACATTTTTACAAACAAAAAAAACTTAGTAGGTTGTCATTTTTCTTTTTGAAAAAACGTTTATTATTCTCATTATCCATACAGATATACAATCAATGAGTGTAATGGCACAATACTATAAGTACTGAATTATTAATAAATAATAAGTTTTCTTGTGTTCAAGAGAAGCCATACAGCACCAACGCCCAACTTATTATATTTTATTAAAGTAAAATTCTGTTAGGCCAATTTCTTTTGAGTCTTCTGCGGACTATATTCTGCATTGTGGGGAGTGAGAAGAAAAATTATTTGATTATTAATGAATTTCTATGAGAGTTTACTATGGAGAATGAAAAGTTTTGTGTTTTTTAACTAGTTGGTCGAGGGTTGGTATTTTTAAGTCTTTATGAAGAATTTTATGACCTAGTGAAAGATGGTAATTCAATCTAATGTGGCCATATCATATTCATTATTATTTAGTATTTACCATGTTTTATACATTATATTTGAATAACTTCGAGGTTAGAAATACTTAAAATATTTAAAACCGCTATTATTTTGATGAATCACGCTATTGTATATATGAAAAATATTTTCTCAAAAGGATTTTACCACCACATTTTGTGTTTTGGTAAAGTGGCAGTTTCTAAACTGTTATTGTATATATTTTCAGATCTAAGCATGATGGGAATAGCCGTACCTAGATTAAGTGTTCGTTCGCCGTCCAGGAAACGTTCCCTACAAACAACAACCAGCACGCATGACCGCTGTAAGTAAAAAATAGTAAAGCAAATTATGAATTTTATTCTTTAGAAATTGTAATTTTATTATAACTATTGCGTATAATCTAGTAAGACTTTAGAGTCGGATATAAGTGCAGTAATATAATACGGTGTGGTGGGTGTGACCATCGTGGTGGTATATATTATAATATGTATAGCTATTAGTTATTTAATTATATCTTACAATACTATTTTAGAGCCGATTTTGTACCTATAATATGGCAGAGTGATTGTAATGCTTCCTGTTGTACTTTTCTTTATAAATAGTATAGTATTATAAAAGATAACTGATTTTAAATTTTAATTATAGTACAATTGTAATTTTTCTACGTTATAACACATAGCTAACTGTGCAGGTTATATCATTATATAATTTCTATGCCTGGAAACAAAATCGCATCAGTTTAAAATTATTAATTTAAGTACATTTTATTAAAATGTATGTCTTAAACTTTTAAAGGGTGATTTTTGAAGTCATAAAACTTGAAAACTCAATATTTTTTAATGCGAGAGAGCATGATCATTTTTATACGTAAAAACATTATCGTTTGAATGAGACGTAACAGTTTATGCTTTGAACTAAAAAACATTACCGCCACCGTGCTATTAAATTGCATATACAATACCCCTTAACGAGTACAAGACAGTACGATGATAAAATTAGGTTTAAACTTTCAAATTTCAATAACTTACAATGTTCGTCTTCAATGTTGTTTTTTTTTCCAAAGTTGCGCGCGTATTTTATCGACCAATCAGGCGTTTCCCGTTGTACGTCAGTTCTTGGCATGAGTCATAATTTATACGTTCAAATTCATATATAATATACAAACGAGGTTTGTACGATATATACACTGCTGCAGCGTAATGGCCTGAGCATATAATGTAAAGTTGGACCTTGAAAATTCGCTAGTATTTTGTCGCTCGTGTCTGCTGCAGTAAAGTTCATTTTTTGCGTCGTATTTAAAATATTGTCGTATATACGCGTCCGTAAAAATTATAAGTCCAACACACGCAAGTTAATCCATTATAATATTATATTGCACCGGATGAGGTGTAAAACTTTACCAATCCCGTCCGGCGATACGATAGAGAGAAACCCAAAAAAGACACCTCCCCAAAACAAAAGATCAATATACACAGTCACAGGTGAGTCATGCACCATATTCTCTTACCCCCTTTATGGCCGTCATATTATAGCTGCTTTTACCATATTATCTAAGCGCTAAAATGTACATTATTTAATATATTTTGTACATTTGTCGAACTTTCAAAACATATACTCACTTATTATATCTTATCATATGATTACATAGTGATGTATATTGTGTATGTTTTTTATGATCATTTTTTTTTTAATGTTATTTTTCACGTTTATTTTTAACTGTTAAATAATTTTTTAACACATTCCGCTAATAAATTTCAATTTATTTTATTCTTCAATAAAATAATGGAGAAATAATAACCTCAATTATTAAGCATACCTACCTATACTTACTGGAAATATTATATTATGTAATAATTAATGTATTCAACGGTATCGAATAATAATAAAATTATACATCATGACTTTATCGATGTCTGTTTGTTGAATTTTTTCTTTCGTAATCTTTTATTTTATTTAAATAAAACTAGGTCCTTACTATATTATGTATTTAGTATTATGCTAATCTAAAATATTATTGAAATATGTTATACTAAAACTACATTTTCTTTATAATGTAAATTATTTTGAATTCGTTTGCGTACTAAACAAAAAAATACTTGGTTTTTGTTCGAATCGTAACAGGATATAAATAGTAACCTATTGGAAGTGATAATAAAAATAAATTATTTAGCGAACAGAATAAACTCATTACTCGCGTATAATGTTGTGGTCTCGCGTCGTCATTTATACGAACTGTTGACCTTTTGTTTATACATTCGATAAGAACAAAAAAAAATGTATACATAGTCGTAAATCGTGAATTAATGTAACTACCGTATCTAAATGTACCTTTACGATTTAATTCTATTTCATAACGGCCGATGACATCATTCGCTGGTACCTTACCTATATTAATAATAATAATAAAAAAAATAAGATGTTTATCTACCTACTTAAACTTGAATTAGACGAGCAGAGACGTCTAACTCGAGTACTTGGACGAGACGATGTATTATTTCAATATTCGAGTGATAGTAATAATAAGAATAAAGTTCCTGCTCATTGCTGTATAGTCGACGAGACATCGTCGTCATGAAAAAAAAAAATAGATAATTCGGTATTCTAGAGTCTAGAGGAAAATTGGGCATGGCGTCGAGTGTAATACAGCCTGAATAAGACAACATTTTGGAACAGCCGACTTAACCCGGCTGTATAAAAATAATTCAGAAGTGTGAGGCACAGTCTCACGAGTGATAGCGAAAAAAATTCTTTAAATCATTAGTGATTCGTCGTTCGTAACTTGCTCAGACTGCTCTGCAAACTTTAGCTTAGTGCACACAACATTGATTCTAGTAATAATGTTAAAGTCCGATTTCCTTCCAAAATACACTTTTCCCGTCCATCTAATGAAGAAAATACGGTTGTCGTTGTTTTTGAATATACCTACTTAAGATTGTTGTCAATACAATTATTGAGAAATCACTATACTTTCGTGTTCCTAAATAATTTTATATTTGTGACTTATATTATTGAGTTGTGCCATAAGCGAAACGGCCTATATGATTAATATAAAGTGAACACAAATAGTGCTAATTCAGTATTTTTCCCGATTTGTATGAAACAATATTATATTGTTTATCCAGTAAAATCCTCTTTCGTACTACTACATAATAGTAGTAATAATAATAATAATATTTATTTGTATACATGTACATAATATTATTATTATATTATACAATGCGCGCACTATTGCACGGCGGCCCGTGAGCAAGGTTGCAGTCAGTCCGTCCTCACGCTCACAACACCCCGCTCCCTCCCTCCCGCCACCCCAAACTACTCTGTGTAAAGCTATAATATTATAATAGTGCCACCGCAGCGGTTTCGTAAGGTCGATTCGGGCCGCGTGTGCGTGTGCGTTTGCGTGTGCGTGTACGTGTGCGAGTGTATGTGTATAGGCATGTGATCGAATGACTCATCGTCGAGACTGCCGCCGCCGCCGACGACGACTCCTCCCGCCTCGCTCCGCCGCATGGTTGTGGCGCACACACAACTATCGCCGTGCGGTATTGATATCGATGTTTGTCGCACCTGTCCGTCAGTCGTCGGAAAAACCCTTCGGGTCGCGGGGTGAACGGTCTGGGGCCCGCGTAGAGGAATGCAGCTAGCTGCTGCTGCGTCTTGCACACGTCCTCGATCCACCCTTCTTCCTCTTCGATCCTCCACCAAGACGCCAACCCCCGCCGACGGCAACCTAGCATCCACGGGACGTGGGGTTGGTCGTACCTGGCCGTGCACGAGCTCGATGTTAGACGCCGCGCGGAACGATAGTATACGTTTCCACGTCGTAGTGATAATATCGCGTACGACGCGGAATCGACGACGACGAACAGCGCGCGACAACAATCGATTGATCGCGGCGCGCCCGCGCTGTTCTCCACGAGTTTTTTCGTACCGCCGCCACACTACTACCACTTCTACTACCAGTACTACAACTACTACTACTACTACTACTACTACTACTACTACTACTATACACTACTACTAAGACTACCACCACCGAGACCACGACCGTAATACCGATACACGGACACTGTACGAAACTCGTGCGCGCCATCCACACACGGGTTCGTCGCGTAAGGTCCGCCGCGCACCGCAACGTATATATTAATATATTATATGCGATAATATTAATTAATGTTGTTAGTTATTAGATAGGTACGATGTTACGATATAAATGTTGAAAGATTTTTGAATTTTAATCCGGCCCTCGGCCGTGATCCACACGATAGGTTTTGATACCTCGTAAACACCGCACAAACAGTTTTTTTTTATCGTTTTTATCGAGTATACCGCGTAAGTCTTCGTCGTCGTCGTCGTCGGGTTGTACCGCGATAATATTCGGTAACAATAGACAACACACACGAGACATGGGTTCCATCGACTGGTGCTGGGAATATTCCTGCAAAAACAGATCGAATTCCCACTGACCGGATGACTGGGGTAAGTGCGTTGCGCGTGTGTGTCGTACTACAGATTACGACCTACGAGTACGCATATTATGTATATGTGGCTGTGTGTGTGCTTATTTATGCGTGAGTGTATGTGTGTGTGTGTGTAATCGTAGGTACCAGCATTAGCGTTATACGGTTTTCGGTCAGTCGACTTTCACCGCGAAATCTCCCGACGTCGTTACAATAATAATATAATAATTTTATGTTATACACCAGCCGTAGTACAGGCATACTGCAGGTGTCGTCCGTTCGTTTTAATAATAATTTTATTTTTACGCAACCACACGCAATACGTATTTAAATTCATGAGGACGACGCGAGAACAAATCCTATGCCCTCCTCCCTTGGACTCTTCGTAATGATACCTACACCTGCCTCACCAACATAATTATTACTTATTAGCGGCGCTATTATTATGTACGGCCATCGATCCCCGACGCGAATCTCACATTTTTCAGCTGTTGCAACAACCACTGCAACATGCTTGATCTCTTCTGCAGCAGCGACGACTGACCGAACAATAACAAGTGACCGGTGAAAACTATGTACTTCTCCTTGCCTTCGAGAATTTTCAATAGGTCTTTTTATTTTTACACTCTTACACATACGTTCGTTTACTGTTTAGTAAGTTCATGCTGTAACCGTTGGCAACATTTCAACATTTTCACGTGACCAGTGCAATTTTAAACAAATTTGTATATTTTTCACGATTTTTGTTTGATTAAGACTTGAGCAAAACTGATACCGTTCGGTCTTCGATATTACGGGTTTTTTTTAAGTATCTTTTTTTTTTATCATTTATCGGATGATTTTTACTTCACTCAACACGTTATAATTTATATTATTAAGGTGACTCATACATTTCGAGTGTAGGTGTATCGTTTGAAGGAGTTTTGAAATGGTCGTAGGTATATATATGCAGCCTTACAACTCTGGGTCGATATACTATGAAGTATATGCAATAAACTTTCAAATAAACAATTTTCCTAACTCAACAATTATTGTTGAACTGCGAAATTAATAATCATTAAGATATGGTTTCGAGGATACTTTTGTAAATTAGAACCCGATAAATATTAGTAAAATCTAATATAATTTTAAGTACAGTATACAGTTTAATATGTATGCATTTAATTATCAGTATTAATAAGCTAATTGCTAATCAGTCATTGCATTTATCATCATTAATTATTTATTTGTTTATATAGAATAATTATTATTTTTACGCCTTAAAGAGTACAAAGTACAGATGACCATAGGAAAAGGATTCTCATATTTTAGCAATCAAATACAATTTGTATACTTGCCTAAAAAAGTAAAAATTAAAATATAATAATTGAAATCAAAATTCTTGTTACAATTATTAAATTATAATACATATTATTTAACTATTTAAAGCCTTAAATGTGAATATTGTTAGTGGGATGTGTGCGTAAACCAGCAGGTCTGGTAGCGAGCAACTACAAATATAATTATATAATATATTGCATCAACGAGAGGTTTAACAATAAGTTAAGTGGTTAAATCATTGCTAGTTTTTCCACTCGATTTTTGTCTTAATCAACACTGTGGGAAACCGTGTAAAATCTAGATTTCCTTGTTATTAATTATTAAAATTATTGTAAAAAAATGCAGTGTAATATTATTTATGATGGTACCTACCAATAAATTTATTTTAATTACCCAAGTGTAAAAATATACCGTTTTAAAGTTTCAAAGTACACAATGTACTTGACAATGAATCTATTTATTAATGTTCACAGTTTAAAAAAAAATATCTAAATTAACAAACAGATAAAGAGTTAAGAATTGTGTATTATCTTGAAAAAATACATAATATGTACAATTTATGATGGTGTCATTTATATAATAACCTATATCACAAAATTTAAGTTATATTAGTTGCTCCCTCCAATCATTCAAGTACAAGTACTTATAACACTTCTACTCTCATTTATGCATTTGACATGAAATAATTACTGTTTAAAAATTAAAATATAGTTCATCGGCCGTTATTATCTAAAACGTAATAAACATTATTTCGTTTTAATTTTGTAAGTATGTATATTGTACACAAAAAATGACAAGTATGTTACATTAATACATATTAGGTAATTACACAAGTACTCTGAAGTCTAAACACGTACTTACAGTCTTACCCTTTAATCAAAAATACAAATATTATTAATTCAAAATGAATGCATATTAACTAACTTTAGTTTATTCTAAAAAAATAATAATTTTTAATTAAATCAATATTTATGTGTGCCTAATTCAATGTACAATTTATATTATTTTAAATCGGGAGCAAATTTTTTTATCAATAATAATAATACAATAGATTAGGTACCAAAAAGCGTTCATTCAGCATTCATTCATTTTTAAATATTAAATAGGTACTTAACAATATATTTATAAAACTGAGTTGTCAAACCGCTGCTTTGAGGTTTGCAAGTATATTATTTCAGAAAAATATATTTTTTTCTTAATTATTCTCTGCATATAATATTTGTGTGTACTTATACCCACATTTTGTAGGAAAATATAAAATACAGTAAGTTAGTGTGAATTATCCAATCAAATGTATCAATTAATTAATTTTTATTATATATAATTACATTAAACAATTATTTATTTAAAATTAATTTTTATAGATGTTCTTTGAAGTTTAAGTAACATGGATTTTTATTGCCATCGTTTAAAACGTATTATACTGACAGGACATGTTATATTATGGTTATTTTATTTTAATTTATGCCTTATGGCTCGCGTAATTACAATTTATAATTTTCTATGATGTATATACATATACATAAACATCGTAAATATATTTGAGTACTATTTATAATTTAGTATATTCAATATAAATGATTTCTTCTAAATAAATTCAACAAATTATCAAAAAAAATTTACATTTTTTTGGTATTATTATAACCACTTGTTGCACCATTATAAATAATATGATACAAATAATTGTAATAGATACAAATATTTTACAGGCGTATTGTTGTTTTCAAATATTATGTTTTAAAACTGCTTATAGAATACCTATACTTAATAAACCTATAATATTTGCGTGAATGTTTTACAGTTTGCAGTTTGAAAGCTCACCAACAACGTTGCTCCATGTCGGCTGTCTGTTACGAGGGTGGAGTCGGTGGTAGATCCCGAGCTGGGCTTAGGCTCAGTCTGAACAGGAGTATCAGTGAGCCGGGCCCAGCAACACCACCGATTACTGTTACTACACCGACAACCTCGAAACGTTTTCGATTGGAATCTATACCTAGTTTACCGGCTAGTTTACCCGTTAGCCCAAATTCTGAGGGTACAAATTTAAGCAGTGCTCTAATACTCAACAAGGTACGCGTATTGAAGTGCAACACTGTACCAATATATTATATTATATTTTTTATTTTATTTATTCTTCAAGAAGATAATGGGCCCCACTGAACTATATATAGTAGATAATCATGTCGGTGTAAACCTATTATATTATATTTTATCAAGTATTTATTCGTATCGACCAATCGCCGATCCATCCACAAGCCATAAACTGACTCACCGAGGAATGACTTAATAAACCATATTTATAAATATTATAAAACTTGATACCTATTGGCACCTATATCATATAACGCTCGTATTATATTATATATTTATATCTATAATAACGTCAAAAGGTTGAATATAATATCTAGTCGGGTTAGACTTGCTTTCTGCTTCAGTGTTATACATCAACAAAATGGCACGTCATCCGTTTTTTATTTACTATTACATTTTGTATCATTATTATTATTTATTATCGTTATTATCATTATTACCAATAACAGAATTAATTTTATTTTTATTATTATAGGTAAAACGAATGAGCAGTGATTTTTTTAGACAAAAACTGGAACTTTTCGGACCAGCGGTCTTGGCCATTGACTGTCGGTCTTTTGTATGCTACAACGTCAGTCATGTCAGAGGTTCTGTGAACGTGAACGTCGCCGACCGGATTAACAGACGGAGATTGCAAACGGGAAAAGTCACTTTGGTGGAGTTGGCGTCTTCTAGGGACTCCAAAGACGCTCTAAAGAGGCGTGGTTACAGAGAAATTGTGGTGTACGATGACTCGACTACAGACTTAGACAGAGTGCCCCATAACCATCCTCTGATGCTAATCCTTGCATCGTTAGTAGGCGATGAAAGAGAACCATCGTTTCTTATCGGTAAGTCATTATATTGTAGAGCACAGTCACTAGACTTTGAGCATTGTGAACTATAAGACTATAGTATATTATAATATATACAATGCGCCCGCTTGGCGTATGCCGTATACATTGCAATTCAAGAGTCGAGACTTCATAGTTTATGTGCACTTATTATATTTTCTATATTATAAACTATTCTTGAAATTCTTTGTTTCCAATAGTCAATTCAAAACTAAACCGGCATGTAAGATAGATAAAAAATGCGTAGGTAGGTTCTTAGCATAAAATACGAAAAGCAAATAAATACATTTAAAATCAGCTCTCGATAAGTGGCAATACATAATTGGCACATCAAATAAAACTATCTTGACAGAACAGTAATTAGCAGTAGATACAATATTGTATAATTTATTTATGCGTATAAAAAAAAAAATTTTAAGTATACCAAAAGATATCGTTTTATACGGTTACTATACTTACAATGTATTACAGGTACCTACCCTATGAAGTATGATATTTTAGTATCTATACATACGGTACACCGTTATTACTTTTTAGTTCTTACTATTATTGATTATTAAATATTATGTACAACAATATTGAGTCCAAAAACTACTTTGTTTTTGGTTTGAATTTATCATTTCTCATTTCATGGCATCAGAAAACTAGATATTTCGTTCAAAAGAAATGATTTGGGGGTATAAATTAAAGTTAATTTAAAAAAAAAAATTGTCTAGTAAAATATTCAAACGTATACATTTTTACAATGTTTTTATTATTATTTAAATGGTTTTCAAAGTAAATTTATATGTAATCAATTATCGATATGACGTGTATGGTATATTGATAATATATATATATATATATATATATATATATTATATTTGTTTGATAAGTATAATAATATATATGATATTGATGTATACCATTTAAAAAAATATTAAACCATTATCTATATACGATTAAGTACATATTATAATATGCCTAGTTAGTAAGGTTAATACAAAAATTAATACCTACTGTTGAGTATATAGGTATCGGTAATAGGTACTTTATGTTTATGAATTTATGATTAAGGTCTCAGACATAATATTATACATAAATATGCATATACATCATACTAGGTGAATTATTTTAACAGTCAACACTCATTATCTCAAAAAGTTTAAACGATTTTGAAAATACCGTTTTTACATAATATAAATTTATTACAAAACTATATTTTTTTTATTTTTTATTGTTTTTTATTTATTTATTTTTACCTTTTTGAGTCACATTTTTTGTTTCATACCATGAATCGAATATTTTTCTGAGAAATTTGATACAAAAAACGTATTCGAATTATGATAGAGTAATTGATTAGGTAGGTACTAAATATTTAAAATTTAAATGAGCGGAGTAATAGACTATTTCCTTGTGCCATTCGCCATTCCACTCTCCTCACCTAACCTAACTTAAAATATTTAATTTAGGCATCTAGGCCTGGATTTTTATGTAAATGCAAATTTTTCTAAATTCGAATTTAAATTTTTCCGATCATGTATGATGCATTTTTGTTTACGAGTAAAAACTCTTGAAAATATATTACAAAGTTTCTCACGAGTTATTTTTAATTAAAAAAAATATCAAAAATACAATCATATTTTTATTTTTAACCATTCAAATTCATATTTTTACGAAATTTGTATTAGTTTTTAGTTGACACTGACCGCCTTTTTGACCCTCACCCCGATAGATATAACAAATTTGATTTATTTTAATGGCATTATAAGTTCTAAACAAATGTAATATAGGTACCGCTATAGAAGGTATGGAATGAGGAGACTATATTGTTATATTATTGTATACTAGGTTATTTATTTGTTCGTGGATTATTACAGAATTTTATCTTTGACCTAATTTATGTCACGTAATACAATAATACATCTCAATCACGTTGCGTGATCTTAAATATATATAATTATTAAAAATTGCCGAATTGTTATGAGAACTAATTATCTATTATTACTCAAGTATCTAAAGTGTATTGTTTTGCTTTTGTTGTACTTAGCAGCTTTATACATTCTATTTATTGAGAAAATTGAATAAATCAAAACGAATTAGCTAAAACATAGCAAATTACTAGCTCCATTGTATATTAAGATAAACCCTGGGTTTTAAACAATATTTCCATTTTTAAGAAAGTTATGTAAAATGTTACAATTTAAAAATTAAAATATCTCAATAACACAATGAAAAACACGGACAATCGTCTGTCTTTATTAAGTTTAATTATTAGTAATTTTATTATTATTAAAGCTAATTACATAAGAATATAAGATTGAAAATTGGAACTGTTGAACACAAATGTGATATTATGTTGTACGTTCATAAAACAGAGACAACAGATGCGGGTGCGGCGTCGTCTTAAGGGATGAAGGGAATGGTGAAGTACATATTATCGCATATGTTATACATTATAATGTTGTATCCGTCAATCCATATCCTGTCATCATTCATGGTATTCGCCAATCCTTATACTATTATATAGAAACTAATTGGCTGCCCATTTATTTTTCTTATAATATTATACCTACTTTAAATTTATTTTAACGGGTTACGAATTACGAAGAAATAATTTTGAATTACACGCCCTGATCCTTATAGGTGTCTAGGTGCCAGGTGGTTAGGTTCAGAGGCGTGTCTAGGACCAAAATTCAGGACAGGCCTGGTTATAAAAATAACTTGTATAGTCAACACATTTTAAAGTTTAAGAAAAATTGTATTATACTGTTTAAGTCATAAGTATGACGTGTAACATGACGTACTAATATTAAAAACTATTTATAATATGAGTATTTTATTTAATAAATTTAATTCGCCTGTTTTTCATTTTGGCGAACTCGTCATTATCACAATTTAAACTAATATCGAGAACTTTTGCATTAAATGAATCGTTAAAAATTGAATTGTCGTTTAGTTTTACAATTTTTTTTGGTGGTTCATCTATTATATCGTCATTATCATTTAATGTTCTTGTTGATTTTGGAACAGGTTTCAAAAATTGGCTAATCATTTTATTATAAATTATAAATTTTAACAAAATACAAAAAATACAATTTATAATAGTTTTAAAATATACGCACAAAAAAATACAAAACGAAGAAACTCACTCACGGGCTCGGTTGTCAACCGTGACAATAAATTAAAAGTCAGTACTAAATAAAATATTTGTTATCTAATAGCCATGTCATAGTTTTTGACGTTCAACACTACGGCGGTGATCGCCGACCAAACGACGACGGTCGTCGGGTCGTGTAATATCTATATAGAAATATGGGGTATTTCCAAGAAGCGCTTGAGAATTGACGATAAATTGTACGATTATTAATTTTATTTATAGACAAATATTTATTTTGTTAACAGCAAAAAATATGATTGATATATCGTGTGCTTATTATATATGTATAATTTTAAAATGCATATTTTGGGTATACTTAAAGGTTAAAAATCAGGGTAGGCCCGGGTCTACCAGGCCTACCCGCTGGACACGCCACTGGTTAGGTTAGGTGCTAGGTGCCTGGGTGCCTACTCAAAATTGTCGTACTAACATCTGGAAAACTTCTGGAAAAAAAATAACAAAATACAAAATAATCATTCGTATAGACTATTTAGTTACAACTTAAAATTGTATATAATATTACGTTTATTCTCAATATTATCGCATTTACGTTTTATATTTTATACTTTTTCCTATTAACAAGTGTATTAAGAATTGTATGAAACATCATACAATTATCAGTATAATATAATATTATGATATGTAATAGTTACAAATAAAAATATTTAGGTGAAATATATAATATAGTATGACGTAATTATTCATTATGCGTTTATATATGAATTAATATATTATGTTGAACTTTATATTCTCGACGAACCCATATAATACTGAAAATATAATCGGCCATTTTAGTTATAAGTAATTATAGGTAAAATATTATATAGGGACTTTATTTTATTGTTTCCTATAGGTAAAACCTCAACTTAAAGTCCTAAATATCATATATTAGTTATATTATAATTGGCTCTTAGCTGGACTACCGAGGGCTTAGATTTACCCAAACATTTAAAATACACGGTGTTATATCATTTACTATCATGGTCGTTTAATCGTTGTAATTTAAATTAATATGTTTATTTTTTAATCAACTGATGCACACGTATTAAGTTCGTTGCAAGTTCGAGTGAACCACGATACTATAGTTTTTGGAGACTAGTGAGTAGCGGCGATTGATTAATGGACATACGCACTATAGTAAGTATACACACGACATGACCGAATGAAAAACATTTATTTTTAGTGCACCAGCACCTACTAGTTGTCTACACACTTTGGTCATTGACATCCATATTTACGATCGAATGTGAAATATGGGTTTATTTTGAGAAGCCATTGGCACAACGAAGTGAAGCATCTGCCATCCGGTACGCTGGCAAACATCATCCCTTCCAGGTGGAATGCATATGACGTATTTGACGTGAACAACATCAGACATGGCGACGCGATACGCATAATATAATACGATAATATTACCGTCGTATACAAAGAAATTCCACATATAATACCCAACGCAGTCCCTGTAAATCCACACCAACACGTGACTACCTACCGACTAGTATCAGCTGTTTCATAGTTTGTAATATTATATAAATGTGTATCATGTAAATCCGAGCAGCGAGTACAAAAACACGTTTCCGGATGTATGTAGTTATTTGCTACTTTATTTTTCAACCATATCATAATTGACATAAATACATAGCCGTGTAATGGTACTAAATTATATTTCATGAAATTAATTGACATACTAATAAATTAAGATAATTGTACACCTAATGAATTATCATTTTTATCAGTGAACAATCGTCAATTAGTTTTCCATAAAGTATTAACTATATTTTTTTTTTATTTTGGAAATGTAAAATACATTCAATTCTTACGGTATTTACACGACCTTTGTTTTGTTTTTGTGCATTGC